AGAATTGAAAGTTCCAGCCCAGTCTCGAAAACTTAGAGAATGAGACTCTATCTCAAAATGAAAAGTAAAAAGGCCTAGAAAGTCGGCCTACTCGCAAAAGTCCTAGATTCACTCTTCAACAATACACGCGTGTGTGCATGTGAGCACTTGTGCAAGTGCACAATCATGAAAAGGAAGAAAAAAAGAGGAAGAGGATGGAAGAGGGAGGGGAAGGAGAGAGCAGGAGAACACACATGGGTGTCCCACCAGCACTTTGGGAAGCAGAGGCAGAAAGATTTCAAGTTTAAGGCTATCCTGGGCAATCTAGTGACTTAGCAAGACCCTGTCTCAAAAAAATTAACAAGCAAACAAGGAAAAGTATGTTGAACAACTTTATAATCAAAACCAGACCAAGAAGAAATAGAAAATTTACTAGAGCAATAATCCTAATAAATGAAATTATATTAGTGAGAAACACATCGGGCTCAGAGCATGAGAGTGCGAAAAGGGTGTGAAATTTCTCCAGCACTGAGAGAAGTTGCTAATTGCAAACCTTGATTACCAAAAATAGATAAAGTAGGAAAAGATAATTACCAGTCAATAACAGATAGGTGGCAAAACAGCAAATTGAATTTAACAATGTATAAAAAGACCAACTGGGATTAGTCTTAAAAACATGAATGCACCAACATTAGAAAACCTATGAATGTAATTCACCCCTAACCAATTAAAGAATAAAAGGAATATAATTATATTAACAATGCAGAAAAGAAACTAGCTGAAAATTTAACCTCTCATTCATGATAAACTTACAAGTAAGCCAGAAATAGATGGGAAATCCCTTGTTTTGATGATGGGAATTTGCCTGGCATCTGTAAAAAGCATCACAGTTAATGAAACGAGAAAGGCATTTAACTGAAAATCTGGATAAAGACAAAAATGCCTCTGTAACTGCTAGCATTCAATATTATATTTCAAAACCAAATGCAACAAGTCATAATAAATAAGACAGAAAAACCAGAAAGAAAAAAACAGAACTGCCAAAATTTACAGAAAATATAATCATCAGTATTTTCTCTCTTTTTTAGAAAAAAAGTTACATTCATTTCATATATTTTTAGTTTTATTTAGTTTAAACCTCTTATTTCAGATAAATATATGGCAATAATAACATTTTTCAAAAATCTGTCATTCTTCAGCTCATAATTTCAGTATCAGGGTTTCCTTTCCTTTCTCATGGGTTTCCACATCATTTTATCTCTAATTTCGAAGAGCTACATATTTAAGTAGGAAAACAAGAAAAACTGTGACTAAGGAGCATTGACAAATAAAGTCCAAGACAAACTTCATTTTTAGGGATGGAGAAGACCTGCGCCCAGCTTTATGCCTCTCTGTGGGGGCTTTCTGATGGACAGAGCATGGTTCTGACAAGGTTATGCATTGGCCATTCCCAAGCAGTGGTAAAGACACCATGTATGTATCTCTCAGCTGTGGGACTCCTAAAGGCTTGTAGTTTGATTATTTCCAGTTTTGGGGGGGGGGTAATAAATGCTATGGACCTTCAAAGAGATGATGTGGAAGACATCGAATGCCTGGCTACTTATCTGTGCTTTTGTGTCTCTCCAATTTACTTGGCCTCTTGAAGACATCACAAGAAACTTGTCTTGCTCTCAAGTATTTATTTCTCAGCATCCTGGCATTCAGAAAGAGAACCTTTCCTTCTATGTGAGTCTCTTTAAAAAAAGGCATAAACTGGGCGCCAGACCAGGACTGACTAAAAAGCCAAACTTCCTTTCCAGTGTCTTTGGAAAGGCCCTTCTTGGGCTCATGTGGAAATCAAAACTCGAAGATTGACTAAAGCCTGGCAGGGCACAGAAAACACTGATGAAGCCTTCTTTCTGCTCTTCCTCTCAGAAAATGATCTCAGTTTTTCCTAGGTAGTACATCATGGTACTCAGGTACCACAAAGTCAATGGGACCAGCAGGCAGTACAGGTACAGTTGTGCCTCACTGCATCCACTTGGTGTGTGAGAGACAATCAATGAGCAGTCACTGAAGAAGTCAATAAATGAATGAACATTCAGATTAAAGGGACCACAGAGGTAGATCATTCAGTGCTTAGGACAGAAACCCTGGAGTGTGAGTGACTTGTCCAGTGAAGCTGCATCCTTAAACATAGTTGGGTTCAGAAGTTTTGTCTAAAATGATGATCAAGATGCAACAGGTTATCTTTGTCCCCTGAGCAAGGCAGAATCATGTTCTGATGCTAAAGCTTGGTTCCTATGGAAAACCCTAGATTTTTCTAAGTTCTATCTATGTGAGTGGGGTGATGAGTTTCTTTTTAATGAGATCCCCAGACATCCTGGTGTTTAGAGCTGCTATCACTCCTTGGGGACCATCATTGTTTGGGGAGTGGGACCCCAGAGTGTGGGGACCAGGGGAATGGTCCTGGCAGACAGTCTACAGTCCAAGCATAAAGAAACAGGGCCACGGGGAGGCAAAGGAGAGCCTATGCCACTTTCTGTATGCTTGCTATTCCCAGATCTCACTGATCAGGAAAGCAGTTAACGGAAAGACCCTGGTAAGTACTGCACTTCTCTTCTAGTGCTCCCCTTTGCAAGTCTCTGCGTCTACAGAACAGTGAGGTCCCTAGGAACAGGGATCTCGAATTTACTCTCCTGAATGCTAAAGGACTCAACCCAGTCCAGTGATACATAAGTCACATTTCATGATGATGCAGTGCAGATTCTTGCTTTGTGACTGAAAGTGGCCTATGACCCTTGGGTAGTGGGACATCACGTCCTTTCTTTTTTTGGTGTAGGCAAAAAGATGCGTATGAAGTACTCTTACAAAATTTAGGAATCAGCATTAATGAAAGTACCCTGAAAAGCCACTAGTGTTAGAGAATTTTAGACAGAGTGTTTAAAGAGCTTAACCAGCCAAAATAATTAGTTCATACTGAGTGAGCCAGGCAAATTAGGAGCACCCAGTTGTCCCTCCATCTCGTGTTATCACCTTCAGAATATGTGTGGTCTGGGGACAATAATAGAAACCTGACTCTTATTGAGTGAACCTAATTTCCCCCCTTTATATGAAAAGAGTATTCTCTCTGAGCACATCCCTCACCATCCTTGTTTTCCTGTCCTGTAGCTTAAGCAAAGACCAGGCAGTGACAGGTCAGTAAGTGGCTGGCAGATCTTCAGAGTTGCAAGAGTGCAGAATCAAAGTAAGGTTTCCCCTTCTGACAAGTTGGGGGACATTGGGAATGTTTAGCCTTGTCAACAAGATCCCGCTTGAAGTCCCCTTCTCTTCTTCATTGTTGTCTTTCCTTCCCTGCTGTCTTCTCGTCACATCTCCAAATGCTGGGAGAGCCTCCTCTGCTCTGACTGCAAACTGCTACACAAATAGCAGGTGGATGAAGACCACATTGTACCCTTGAAGCCCAGCTCAGGAGAGAAGTGTCAATCAAGGATCTCAAATTTTCATTCTGTTTGAAATGCGAAAGATAAATCGATGACCTCAAATGTTCATATTTTGAAATGTATGATCCTCTTTCCCTCCGCATATTATTTATTGAAGGCATGCTCTAAACCAGGCTCTGCTAAATACCTTACATATGCATATTCTCATGGTATATTTCACTCGTTATGTCACAGGTGAGGAAACTGAAAGGCATGAAGAGATAAGAAATGTTTTTGAGGTTACATGAGAAGTAAGTGAAGCCCGAGCTGTTTTGACTCCAAATCACCCCACCTCCGTCACCACACATTTCAGGCTCTTGAATTGGATGGGAACTGGGCATGGAAAGTAAAGACTGGACTTTCCATTTAATTGGGGTTGGAAAAATTAGTAGCAGCAACAACCTATAAATACCAGAGAAAGACAGAGAGAGGGTAAGGCAGAGACAGAATATGCATATATATGTGCTCTGGGCTAGGCGGCCCCAAGACACACAAGTAGATTTCAGGGTTGTGGGGAGTGGGGATGAGGAGGAAGGTAAAGCAGGAAGTAAAAATTTAATGTATTGTTTTCCTGCTATATATCACGTACTGAACTTGGAAAATTATGTATAATAATTCATATAATCTCCATGGCAACAGTATAGTGCAGATACTATGATTCTATTTTATAGATGAGCAAATGGAGACAGATTAAATGGGCAAAGAAAACCAAATCTCTTCCCATTTATTCTGGGGCTAAAGCCAGAGATTTCTATAAACTTAAATATTTTGTTGTTTTGTAATGGTTATTAGCATTTCAGTTTTTCAGAGCCTTTATGGTGTTTAATGAAAGATTAGAAAGTAGAAACAGAAACAGCGCTCACCCAGGATGACAGAGATGCAGGCAATAAAAAATGATGTGTAGCATCCATAGGAAGAAAACAAGGCTAAGACAGGAACTGACTCCGGACCACACGATTCCTGGGAACACATACACTACTCAAGGGAGAACCTGTAGTATTTCCCCTAACTGCCTTATTTCAGACATTGGTCACTTTGAATTTGAATGATAAGAGGAGGGATTGTTTTGTTTCTTGATTTATCTAGTAAAATCCCTTTGGCACAGAACTGGAGCTGGCTCTTGCCTCCTGAGAAAATATCTCACACAGGATTTGTCCCCACTCTTGAACCAACTCATTCTGTAGCTTTGTCACTTCGTAGGAGGATTTTTAACATATGATGGGCCACAGCTGATTTACAGCATCCATATCTGTGCCCCCTACTTCTAGGATATCCTCTGGCCTACTACTTTTGGCCATGCTAGTGGGGGTTTCCAGCATTTCCTTTATGCAGTTACTCTTCCTTATTTCCTTACTGTATTTTTCTCTGATCCCAGACCTCTAAGGTCTTGGAGTATTTGGCCAATATCTAAATGTTGAGTCCTTCTTAAGCACAGAGCTGCACTCTTTTTGATTTTTGATTCCATGCAAATGATTAATGATGACCCTAGAATAACCTATTGCTTCCAACCTGAGCATTCAACCTCCCTGCTCTATCTCTTTCAGACTCAGTGTATCCTCAATGTCAAGGCTCAATTTCACAGCTGTGACACAGTTTACCTTTGAAGGTTTCTCCATTTTTCAGTGGCATCACAGACTCATCCTCTTTGTGGTCTTTTTGGTCCTGTATTTGCTGACCCTCACCAGCAATGCTATCATCTTAACAGTAATCCACCTCAACCGTCAACTTCACACACCCATGTACTTCTTCCTGAGTGTGCTGTCCATCTCTGAGACCTGTTACACTGTGGCCATTATCCCCCGAATGCTGTCCAATCTCCTCAGCCCCCAACAGGCCATCTCCATTCCAGCCTGTGCCACACAACTCTTTTTCTATCTTACTTTTGGTATCAATAACTGCTTCCTGCTCACAGCAATGGGGTATGACCGCTATGTGGCCATTTGTAACCCTCTGCGGTATTCACTCATCATGGGCAGAAAGGCTTGTCTGCAATTGGCAAGTGGATCGTGGAGCATTGGCCTGAGCACAGCTATCATTCAAGTGTCATCTGTGTTCAGCCTGCCCTTCTGTGATGCCAGCATCATCTCTCATTTCTTCTGTGATATCCGGCCCCTAATGAAGCTTGCCTGCGCTGACACTACCTCCAAAGAATTTATCACTTTGCTCATCAGCCTCTGTGTTCTTGTTCTGCCTATGGTCTTGATCTTCATCTCCTATGTCCTCATTGTCACCACCATCCTCAGGATGGCATCAGCTGAGGGCCAGAAAAAGGCGTTTGCCACTTGTGCCTCCCACCTCACAGTGGTCATTGTCCACTATGGCTGTACCTCCTTCATCTACCTGAAACCCAAATCCCAAAATTCCTTGCAGGACAGACTCATCTCTGTGACCTACACTGTCATCACACCCCTGCTGAACCCTGTTGTGTACAGCCTGAGGAACAAGGAAGTTAAGGATGCCCTGCTCAGAGTGCTGGGCAGAAAGCCCCTGTCTTAGATGTTGGTCAGTCTCAAGCAATGAAATGAGAACAGTGCAGTGAGGAGTCACCTGGCGAGAGCTAGCCAGACAAGGGACAGTGTGAGGGCACCAGGTGCCTGGTCTGGGAAGCAGCTGGGAACAAGTGAGATAAAGTGAAACAAGGAAGGAAAATATTATTTGAAAGCAGAGATGGGTAGATTTGCCAAGCTGGACAGATGGGTTTACCAAGCTTGATGAAAATCAAATAGGATAAACATTTCCATTTACTGAACTATCATGTTGAACATCATTCCTGTTATTTTTAGCATGAGGTATGATAAGCCAGCAAGGTTGGTGGGAAGAATATATAGTATATCACAAGAATTTATGTAGAGGAATCTGCTCTCATTGTAAAAATCCGGGCACCAAAACTATGGTCTGCATTGTTTATGCCTGACATTTCCAATGCTGCACTTTACACTACTGTTAATAACAGACTCGCCATTATTTATCCTGTGCCTTTTACTACACCAAGAATCCCAGAGAGATGTCAGACAGAAGCTCTGATAGCCAGTTTACAAGCTGATCAAGAAGTTTAAACTTAGGGGCTGGAGGTTTAGCTCAGCGGCATAAGCGCCTGCCTTGCAAGCAGGCAGTCGTGAGTTCAATCCCCGGTACCAGTAAAAAGAAAAAAAAAAAAAAAAGTGTAAAAAAAGAAGTTTAAACTTTGTGTAACAAGCAAAAATCATAAAATTCCTCCTTTCATATCTGAGAATTGTAAAAGAAAAGCCCTATCATTCTCCTCATCCCATTCTCTGTTTTTAGATACAATGTGCAGGACAATGGCTCTGCTGATGTTCTTCTGCTCAGGTCTGCTTTTTCTGCACTGGGGCACCCATCCTAAAGCGTACATAAATGGTGGCATGCTAATTGCTTATACTTGCTTATGAAGAGTTTTCTTTAGTTAACATGGAGATGAGTTTGTATGCCTTCTTCCTCTGCCCAGACAGCCCGCAGTGAATACCTGAATGGCCCAAAGGCACAGAATTCCACTCACCTTCCCACAAAACGGGCTGAACTGTACAATTTTAGAGTCCTTCATTAGACCAGGCCCAAGTTAGACTCCAGTTGAGACTGCCTGCTCACTGAGCTTTTCCTGTTCCAACGTGCTTCTCTCACTCCCTTTTCTCTGACCATACTATCTCTTGCATCCAGGCCCTTGTTCAAGCTTAGCTCCTACAAAACACTTGTGCCTCTCACCTCACAGTGGCCAGAAGCTCCCTGGCTGGTATCTACACATACAGAGCTACCATGCAGACCTTTCTCTGAGGGTTCTTTTAGCATCTGTTGCACGTAGAACAGTGTCTAGGGCACAGAAGATACTCTGTAATTATTTATTAAATGAAAAAAGAAAGAAAAACAATTTGGGGCAACTAAAATGCAATTCACCTCAGCAGGCAACCCTTGTCTATTTTAGTTTTATTATTTAATATTTTCAGGCTATTTCCTCCCCTTTATGACATCCTTTTTTATATGCCTTTATTGAAACTATCCTAGAGAGTAAGCATTATTTTAAGCACTTTATTCATTTAACCCTCAGCAGAAATCCATGAAGTATGTATTTCATTATTCTGATTTTACAGGTAAGAAACTGAGACCTGAAAAGGTTAAGTAAATTTCTCAAGGCTCATGCAGCTTGTGTGTGGCAGAATCAGAATTTAAACACAAGCAATTTAACCCCAGAGTCTGTAGTTATAAGCTCATGAAGATTATTTTACCTGGGCTTCTCCTTTACAATAACAAAACTACACTATTCCATACTGCTAGAAGGAAAAGCACCCCAAATTGGGGTTTTATAAATCTCTCAAATCCAATTAGGGATGCTCTTGACATTGAAAATCATTCTGGACATCTATAAATTATGTATTGTAATGCAATTCCATTCCTTTAACATTTTGGTGCATTCCACCCCCCAAGACAAATCAAAAAGAAGAAAAGAAAAAGTAAGTCTGAAGTGGGCCAAGGGACTCTGGGCAATCACAGAGTTCAGATTACTAACCTATATAACCCATCCTCTTTCCCACAGGTTGGGTCACTATGACTTTCCTCCAAAAACCAATGACCTCGAGTAGGAGCTATTCAAGCAGTGTGATATGGTACAAATCACAAGTTTTGACATACATTCCAACCATAGGTCTACTCGTATGTACATATGCTCTAGTAAAGAATGCTTGGCCTCCCTGGCCTTTGTTTTCTTCCTGCACCGTGGAGCTGACAATATCAACACACAGGGTTTCAGGGAGGAATAGTAATATTACGGAATGACATTTCCAGGCAGTGTTAGCTGTTAGCACCTCCACTATAACTCTCTCTTTCTCTAGTCATTCTGAGGTCAACATTAAAGTTACTGTTGGCACAGACTTAAGGTTTGAACAAGCAGAGTGAGTAAATGAGTTCACTCTTCCCAGGAGGTCTTAAAGGGAGCCGTTCTCCCAGGGTCTTCCAAGAATTATTTTTCAGATACACAGATATAGTCTTTTGTCCTTAAGAGTCCCCTTTCCTTTGTGATCCTCACTTGCTAGCTTACCAAATACTCCCCATAGCATCATCCTCTCTTCTCTCTTAATTGCTTCAGAGTCACAGCAAGGAGTCCTGAGATTCTTGTGTGCACCAATCCTTGTATTTAGGCTGAATAAATTCTTACAGGGACATATGCATCAATTTTTAATGTAATGTTAATTTATTTGAAAGTACTAATTACTAAATCCCTAGTTCTCTTTTTCAGAATGTATTTCTCTATTAATACTTATAGCTGGTATAACTAGTTCTATCCTGCTATTTTCAAGTGAGAGACCCATGAAATATTTAGACATTAAAAAGGAGTTTTCAAATGCAGAAAAGTTGGACACCTCAGCTCTATGCAACAAGGAACACAGCATGAGAGTATGCAGGAGAGACATTTAGGAATTTCAGTTTGATCTATTGTTTATCTTATTCAGGGCCTTGAAAGCCTCGTGTTGACAATTCCAAAGAATCATTACAAAGTCTATTCCTGAGATCCTAAACTAAATTATATACCTTGTATGAACTGTAAGAACTACTCACATGTGCTCTCAACTAAAGCAGTGTTCAGAACTATGGGAGTTTATAGGAGGTTTATTTTTCTGTTTTATGAGCTTTGCTTCTATAGTCACCCTATATATGTTCATTTTTCTAGCAACAAATGGTAATACAGCCACCATTAACACTAGGTTAGACTTTTCACACATCTCCCATCTGCTGTTTGAGAAAACTAATTCGATTAATTGCTACTGAAGTTAAGTATCTCTCCTTTTCACCAGGTACTACATTTTTATAACATTAACCCAGTTCATCTTTTCTAAAATCATTTTAATTGTCCCCAAATATCATAAATCATTGAGCTATTTCCCCCAATTCTATTCTTTTTGTGTTAAGAACTCATAACCATCAATCCTATCTAATGATAGACTATTAATATAAAACGAAATTTTGTTCAATTCATCTGTTACAACGGTTAGCTCTTACAAAAGCATATTTGTGGGTAATCAGGGCATTGGCATAAATGAACCTGATAAGAGTAGTTTATGAAATGATTGACTCTTTCCTTTCCTTTTGTCCACACATTGATTGGGGTACAAGCCATATCGATTTAGTTCGAATGTCTCTCACATCTATCCCTTCTCTCTGGCACAACTGCCAACCTTCTAGATCAATCCCAATTATCTCTGGCACAGCAGCAGCCTAATTGGTTTCCCTGCCTCTTCCTACCACCTCAAATTCATCTTCACACAGTTACCAGATCAATCTACCCAAGCTGAGTGTTGGGCATGTTTTTCCATCAAGGAAGCAAAATTAACAGTTAGACAAGAAGAGAGAATGGGTATCTAGTGCTAAGGAAGTTTATTTCCTTAAGAGGCCAATTGTTAGGAAACTTTGAAGTCCATAAACAGGAGGGATATGTGAGAATCACTTAAAATATCCTTATAAATCATGAAATTCAAATACCTTATTTTTAAAATTAATTTTATTGGTGCATTTTAAATATAAATAATAATCACATGCACCGTAGAGAGTTAGTACCTGTAAATGATATGTATTCTTCCTTCTTTATCCCCAACTCCCTCCTCTCCTTTTTGCCTCTCTTCCTCTCCGTATATACAGTTGTGATTCTATTTTCCTTCCGTTCTCTTTTTTCTTTTTCCTTCCACCCTTCCCCTTTCCTGTCACCCTTGTTCCACTTCCCATTTGAACATTTTCTTCCTATTTCACAATATGTATTACGTATTTTGGTCCTTATTTACCCTTTCAGTTTCTCACAACAGAGAAACAGGGCAACATTTAAACATGCATGTTTGATAGTCTCAAGGTGCCTCTATTTACCTACCAATGCTTCATGATCATCCTTCTTTAAAAAGCAAATTTAAAACTGTAGCAATGTAGTCTTACTTTCCCTATGCAAACAATTAGGATTAAATATAATGAATCTGAGTGTAAATAATAGCAACCTCTTCCCTAGCTGTCTTACATGTGGTATTTATTTTCATTCATTGTGATTGTTTATCACTTGCACTTAAATATGAGCTCTTTGAAGGTTTGTATACGAGCTCATTCATTTCTGTATTTCCAGCAGCTTGCACAGAATCTAGTTATATGGTTGAGGAATTAATGGACACAGATAACAGATACCACCAAGAGGTTCTCTCTACTATGCACGTTCAGTTCCAAATGAGATGAGACAAACACATGTAGCATGAGCTAACCATGCTCATGCTACATGAGTCAAACCATGACTGTATTTGACCACTTTGACTCCAAAAAGAATACCATGCTCTTACAATGGATAGGGCTCTCTATAAGTAGAAAAGCCTAAAATTCCTGAGATCCAAGACAGTCTAGCTATAGGCTGAACTGCAATGATACATCACTATGAATTTCCAAGGTATATCTGAAAAAAACAAAAGCAAAACAAGTAAAATTCAATCCAAGTAAACCAGTTTCTTCTACTCGGTTTCTACGTG